ACTTGCCTTCTTAGCCTTAGCCTTCCGTTCGTCTTCGAGCTTGCCTAGCCTTGCGTTGCCTAGCCTTCAACTTCGACTTTGGACCACATCCTTTTGGCCAATCTCTCACGCATGATGGTCGGTAAATCAGACTAGATGGCTCCTCAAGCATATTTTCCAACCATAAATCGAGATCTTCAACCATCCCATCACTTGACTCACCGGGGTTAATAACCACTTCCGTATCATACCCCCACTCCGGCATCGGAAGGGCGCTCAAAGGACTTTTGTGGACGCTCTAAAAAATTTTCGCAGGATATAAAGGAATACTCTAGAGATTTTTCTAAAAATCAAACTAAGTCCGGAATTAAACTGGTATACTTAAACTGAATTGTTTTAACTCGAAAAAATACTTGAATTTATACTAATAAAAATCACGGACTCAATTATAATAATAATTAAGAATTATACCTCCTTTCGAATAGACGAAAAGCTAAAAAATTTGAGAAAACGAAGCCTCGAACGATCGAACTCGTCCTCGACAAATTTGCTCCTTTTGATACTATTTAACGCAGAAATTCAAACCCCCATAATAAATGCTCGGAACTCCAAAAAAAATGCGTAATTTGTCCGTATGAAATTGTGTTTGAATTGTCTACACGCTCCAACTCGATTCTCGTTAAACCAAGGTCACACGCAACCTTACGGAACCTCTCAAAACGGCTTTTTATTCTTCTATTATGTGCACTCGACTTCGAGCTTCTCAAAATAAATGCTCGAAACTTCGAAACATGAAATAAATTTTACGAACGGCTTCTACTGTTCTCGTGCTTTCAAGAAAGCACTCCCGCTAATTTTCAGCATGCCTACCGAGGGCCGACTGTTACCCAAAGTCTAGACATGAAAATGACGATAAAATCACCGCCACTGCCATTTTTCTCTCAACTTCGGGCTACCCAAAATAAATGGTCGAGACCTCAAAATCATAAACTGATGCCACCAACGCACTCTCCGCTTCCCGCACTTTCATAAAAGTATTTTTCGGTAATGATCAACTCGGTTTTTGAGTCCCGTCGGTACACCGTAAGTCGGCTAATTAACCAACTCAAAATATAATAAAAATGAAAATATTATTAAATTCTGCTGCTGTTATAGTTCTCCTTGTCCCGAAACCAGTATCCCATTTCGGGGAGGGACCAATTTGCCTTTAAAAATAATTTTCACGACAAAACCGGTGGCGCCCCTCCGGCCATGTATGTACCGCATGAAACCGGGGAGGGCCCAACATGCGCGCTCAAAGGAAAATCTTACAGTTCCAGTAAAATCCTCTACTCCTAGTTTAAATTTTTTTTTTTTTTTAGAAGCCCGCGCCTCTCCAACCATGTACATGGTTTCGCCACTAGGTAACAGGACCGTAGCATTTCCCTTTAATCTTACCCAAGGGAATATTTGTGGCCCCAACCATTGGATCAACACACACCCAATAGGAAAAGCGAACCCAAGTCATGCAAATCTGCAATTTTGTTTCACTGATGTTTGAGATAAGTGAAATTAAAAGTTAGTACTTTAGAAAAATATTATCGAGAGTTTATCCGTAACAACATAGATCTAGCTTTACAAATTAGTAACAGTGAGTATGCATTTAGTGAAACATTTGTGTGCTGTGTTACAGACTACACATTGTCTAACTTTTTATGATACATTTATTTTTTAAATGAGTCTGATTCAGTTGCGGAATTTTGCCGCCAGAATAACATTTCTCGGGAAGCACAGACGATGGTCCTAGTTGACCATCCCAACGTCCTTAAGTCACACTGCTCCTTCATTAATGATCACAGTCTTTGGGTTGTGATGCCCTACATGGCTGGAGGTTCTTGTCTTCACATTTTGAAGGCTGCACACTCGGATGGTTTCGAGGAGGTTGTCATAGCTACAATTCTGCGGGAAGTGTTGAAGAGCTTGGATTACCTTCACCAACATGGACACATTCATCGTGATGTCAAAGTGAGTAAATGGACTTTGAGTGTGCCTTTTTCCCTATTCTCTGATAGTTGACACCATTTCCTTCTGTAGTTGTTCGCATCAAACATTTTCTAAACATGGATAACATATTTGAGTCTTCCTTAACTGTAGCCTGCAGGACCTGGTGGAGGTTTATAATTCTACCAAATTATAAGTCGAGAAATATTCAATATGTATTACATACATGTTTCTGTTCCTTCTAAATAAATTAAGCGCAAAATAGGATTATCCATATTTGTGCAGTGTGTGTGTGTGTGTGTGCGTGTTATCATCTGAAACTTGAATGTCCGTTGCCATTTGGTTTCTTCCAGGCTGGTAATATTCTGATTGATTCGCGTGGTGGTATCAAACTGGGAGATTTTGGTGTTTCCGCCTACTTGTTTGATGCAGGTGACCGGCAGCGCATGAGGAATAAATTTGTGGGCACACCTTGCTGGTATGGTTGGATTCTTGTCATACTTTTGGCATCTCTTTAGTTTCCACCAAATCGTTCAAAATCAGCCCTATTATTAGGAGGTTTGTGATAGAAATGTAAACATATGTAGATAATACATGAGTCAAATCTCAATTTAAAAAGTCCGTTGATTTTTGAAGGTCTTAATAGATGCTGGATCTAGTAAGTAAATTCCATATGGTGGGGCTATAACAATGATTGTCTCTGTTTCATAGGATGGCACCCGAGTCATGGAGCAATTGCTTGGTTATGATTTCAAGTGTGTTCATTGTTGCAGATTCTTTTCTTACTACCTCCAATTTTCGATCATATTCCTTATCAAGCTGTTTGACATTTTCCCAGAGCTGATATATGGTCTTTTGGAATAACTGCTCTGGAGCTTGCACATGGTCACGCCCCTTTCTCTAAATATCCTCCAATGAAGGTGCTTACAGATAATAATGACCTGCCTCTTATATTCCAAAATGAAAAATCTCTTTTAGCAATGCATGTTTGGAGCTTTATGCTATACATTTCACTTATTTAGGTATTGCTTATGACTTTGCAAAATGCGCCACCTGGTCTCGATTATGCGAGCGACAATAAGTTCTCAAAGGTACGGTTGCTCATGAAAGAACTGAAATGATGACACTATTTAACAGAGACTGATATTTTGAATACTTGGTATGTTCAGTGCTTTAAGCAGATGATTGCTAGCTGTTTGGTGAAGGATCCTTTGAAAAGGCCAACTGCAAAAAAGTTGTTGAAACATTCCTTTTTCAAGCAAGCTAAATCAAATGATTATATTGCTAGAACCCTTCTGGAAGGACTGCCAGCTTTAGGTGATCGCCTTCAAGCATTGAAGGTATTGCATTTTCCTGTCTACATGGCCAAAGTTAATACAAGCTGAAGTTTGTTCTCTGTATCCCTGATTTTAGGTCGTCCGATTAATCGCGATTAATCGTCCGACCAGGGCATATGGACGACCAGGACATATATTTGTCTTTTTGGGCTGGTATGTGGGCTGCTGGGCTTGGCCTGTTTGGCCTGTTAGGGTTAGGATATATATATAGGAAGGAGGCAGCCCGACCAATTAATCTAGCTGGTCGACGATTAATCACGATTAATCGTCTGGTCGGTCCGTGGTCGACCAGGTTCGACCAGCCGACCTGAAAACATTGCTCTGTATTAGGTTCTAGTCTAATAGAAATTTATGGAATGAAATTAGAGAATATCAAACATTGCTCCAAGAATAATGATGAAATTATAATGATGCTATAAATCATGAAATTATAATTATGCTTTTACGTAACTAATTACAACTTACAAGTGAAAAAAAAGTTGTAGTTCAATATTTCCGGGATACTAGGACCTTGATGTGTACTTAAAAGAGTACACTGTTGCAAATTCTTTCAATCTCCTATGCAGTTCTTGAGATTTAAAGGGATGGCTCTAGTGCTCTACATGACATGAATTCTACTGAAGTACTTTGCCTTTTTGTTTTTGGTTTCTATTTATTTTCGGAATGAATATAAACGTGGGATCAGTGGGTGGAAATTCAACCTTGATGATATGAAGGCTCAAGCTTCACTGGTATTATATACTTTTCAGTTATTGGTTCGATTGATTTACTTACAGCAAAAAAAAAAGAATGTTCTGGATGAGAAACATAATGCACTATTGCTTGCTTTCAGATCCAGGATGATGATGCTACTTTGGAACTTCAACACCAATTATCAAAAAGCTTTAAAGAACTTCAACACCAATTATCCTTTGCAAGTCGGTGTTCTGATGCAGCAGATTCTGTAAGTTAATATTAATTTTTTTTTTTTTTTCAGAAGGCAAATAGGGTTTTATTCTCTTTGTTTAACATCTCTGTTGTTTACAGGATGATAACACTCCTGCTTCTGTCTCATCTGTGGACTCAACTACAAATTTGTATGGCATCACAGTTTGACCATCCTTTTACATTTCCTGAAGCGCATGCTTATACTGCTTAAGAACTTATATTTTCACAGCCTAGAGCTTACTAGCTTTACATATAGCATAGTTAGTAGTTACGTTGTAGTGAACATTCATTCATTGTTGTATTTGTCTTTATAACATGCATAATGCCGCATTTACATTTCTCTGAGTTACAACATCTTTGTTCAACTGTTCCACTTATGCTTGTAAACGTCTCCCTGGTTTCCTCTCCGTGGACCGGTTTCTTATATGAAACCTGATACTTAAAAGCGTATCCTTATTTGACTTTTTTTTTTTTTTCTTAGAGCTAAATTTGAAAGAACTGATGATGACTCGAGTGTCATTACAACATTGGAGCAGTCGACAACAAACATGCCTCTTGGAACTGAGAATAATGCAGATAACTACTATGGAAAAACTGACGCAGAGGGAAACAAAACATCAATAGATGGAGTCCCGACTAACTCTAGGTATGATATTTTTTATCTTGACTAGGGCAACTATTGCTCTCTGTACTGAGTTACTTCCTTTCTTTCTATGACTATGACACATCACCCATTCCTATCTATTGTTCAACTTCACCCTCTTTATTGTCTATAATGCGAACTGATATAAGGCGTACGTAAGCAACAATACTGAACTAGGGCATTTCGAATTATATGATTAAGGGCATAAATAAAAGGAACCAGTTATAGAAACCACCCCCATGATTTTGTACACTTTAGGAGATGTCTAATTAAACTCTGAAATTTCAACTATCCCTAAGATGTTTGTCTTCATTTTATATATTGCGTGTGACGAAACTTTACAGCATGAGAAAAGCTGTATCAGCCAAACAAGAATGTAGGTTCCTAGTGTAACTTTGTGGTACGTATTACGCAATGACTCCAACAATTTAAGGTTGTGACATAAAGAACTTAATTCTAAACATGAGTATTGTTACAGAAAATATTTATAATTTTCTTCATTTGGCTAAAGTAGAAAAACTAAACTGTCAGGTTCTTCATTCTAAGCATAAAAAAGTTTATTTTAACTTATATAGTTTTTATACTTTTACGTTGCTCATTCTAGACTACATCATGATCCTCTATTTACATGCGTAAAATGAAGGTTTTGCGGTTTTCCGTGAATTATATTAGTTATCATGTTTCTTGACTTCTATATCTTAGAAAATTTTCAGCCCTTTATTTTTAAAAAAATAACGGCAAGGTTAAAATGGGTTGTTTTCATATTTGGTTAATAATTGTTTTTATATTCCTTTAGGTGAATATAATCACAGTGTTTCATTTAAGTTTTCCGGACGTGATAGAGATTGTTTGGAAAAGAATCATATGCCATCTTTTTCTCATATGTAACTCTTAAAAATATTCTAGTGTTTGTTAGCCACTTTTAGTCCGTGGTAGTTTTTCTCCCAATTTTGAAAGACGCAGAAAGAATATAGCTGATAAGGATGCATGCACTCCTTACTTCCCCCATTTCCTCAGTGCAGAAAAGTAAATATAGTTCGTCACATAATTCCCTATCTAGGCGAAAGTTGTGCACTCGTTTCTGTTTCTTGGGGTACAACTTTCTCCTTTTCGGTTTGCTTTTTCCGTCCTCTACACGTCAAGTTAGAATTTCGTCACATAATTCCCTATCTAGGCGAAATTTGTGCACTCGTTTCTCTTTCTTGGGGTACAACTTTCTCCTTTTCGATTTGCTTTTTCCGTCCTGTACACGTCAAGTTAGAATATGAGTACTGTGTTTAGTTTCAGTTTCAAGTGTTTTGACTTTTCAAGTTGTTGGCATACAGAACATTGCTTAACATTTCTCTTTGTTACCTTGACAAGTTTATTTTCTTTGTAACAAATAGACATAATGTCCAAAATCAGTCAGACAGTATGTCCCGTGCTGGACTAGCCAATCAGCTACCTTCAGAGTCTGCACAGGTAGAAATAACGTCCAAAGGCTCAAAAACTTCAGGCAAGTCAACCAAGTTGTTCAGACTTGTTAACTTCGATGTTGATACCTCTGTTGTGAACTTGACATACCTTTGTTTTGTCCTGTTTCCCTCTGCTATCCAGTTAATGGAGATGAAGCTGACGAGAAGGCCAAGAATCAAGTTGTTCAGCAAAAAGGAAGATTTAAAGTCACATCAGAGAATGTTGAGGTGGTTAAGGTCAATATTCAGATTTTAATATGAACGGGCCAAAATACGTTTATTTATTTAACTTTATTTTGTTCGTGTAGGCCGCTCCAGCTCCTATACTACAGAATAGCCACAGCATGAAGGTTGGTGTCCAAAATATACTTGGAGTCCCAGTAGAACTTCAATTGAAATTGACCAACACTCTATTGATATATTCTCATTTCACCAAGTGATTAGGTAAATTGCACCAAACCCCCCTGTGTTTAACGAAAAGCGCGCGTTTCTCCACTGTGTTTTAAAAACTGCACCAGACCCCCTTGTGTTTAAGTTACCGATGCAAACACACTCTCTCATACACACACCCACACACACACATTTTCTTCTTTTCTTTAAATATTTTGTTCAAGTATCTGATTTTTGTCTTCCACCTAATCACATTGACAGAATAACATTCTTTGTTTAATGAAGCAAATAGCTGTTGGTGATCCTTTGGGTATGAAGAACTAATCCTAGAATATCTTGTAACACGCACACACATACACACACATGCGCGCGCGCGCACATTTATAGTTTCACTTGATTATTTACCTGTATTTGCAGATGTGGAATGCGCACAGATTAACATGGCATGCATGTACTGAGAAATCCTTGGTACGCAGAAATTTCGGTTTTGATTGATACAGTTATTTTTTTTTTATAAAATTTTACTGTATCGTATCCCTAGATACAAAAATGTCATAGGGCTAAAGTCGATTAACTTCCCTCAATGTCAACTCATCAGCTATTGGATTACTGTTCTGAAACATATCTATTATTCTGATGTTTATTTATAACATTTCCTTTTGGTAGTTAGATGCCGCTCATGATAGGGAACGGGAGTTGCTTCGAGAAATCAATGATCTCCAATGGAGGTACGATTTCCTGTACATAATCCATGCAAAAGCATTATTAGTCTCCATTTGGACAGGAGTTTTTAAAGGAGAAAATTTCGATTTCAATTTCATATGATGTTAGTCCGTTGAGTTCTTGCATTTGTATGGATATGAAATCTATCTTAATTGAAGTCGTTTGAAGTCCTTTCCATGAATCTTTTCCTTAAATTCAAATTCCTCTTAATCAAGTGTTGAGAAACTCGTTTCTCTTGTATAGGCTCGCTCGTGCGCAGGAGGAGTTCCAAAAATATAAGGCAGAGAATGCACGGTGAACTCATGAGTACACATTTTCGGTACAGTTTTTACACAGCTATCCTAACCACTGAACATTGATACTAACTAGTGTTAAAGATCCTTTGATCACATATTAATTGACACAAAAAGTTTGTACTATCATTTAACTGAATTGTGTAGATAAGATTGAAAACAAAAAATAAAATCAAATGAATAATGATTTTTTTTAAAAAAAATATATATATATATTATGTGATCATGTATAAATCCGACTGCATGAACTTTTGATGTTGTCATGATCAAACAATACTTGCATTCGAAATGTTTGTTTGAGACTTTTTTTTTTTAAATATGGATTTCAAGAATTTTTTTATGTATGTCAAAAGACTAAATGAATTCAGTTATGCTTAGATATAAGATGTTTTAATTTTGATTAGATTTTTTGGTCTTTAATTATGAAAAAAATGATATGGTTAGTAAGGTTTTGAGTTTATATTAAAATAATATATTAAAAATAATCAAAGTTGATCTGATGTAAAAGTAAGAGATGGATGATGTGAAGTGATGTTTAGTTAAAATTATGTGGGTAGATGAATAATGAATTAAAGTTGATTGAGTGATATTATTTAATTATATTGATAATATTGAGGCTAGTAGAATCGACTTAAAGTTAAGGTAAATTT